ATGTGTGGCATCAGTAAAATGTGTGGCAACAGTAAAATGTGTAGCAAACAGTAAAATGTGTGGCAATTAGTAAAATGTGTGGCAACAGTAAAATGTGTGGCAACAGTAAGATGTGTGTTCGTCAATGTACGAGTAAACAGCAGCAGAAGCTTGTTGAAAAGAACAAGAACTGTCTCTTATACACATCTAGATGTGTATAAGAGACAGGATTTATCTTCTATTAAAAAAAAAAAATGCAGATTTATTATTCCTTGTCCCGGACTCCCATCAGAGGAGGAGCATCGTGACCAGCCCTGGCCAGCTCAAGGGGAGGGGAGGGGAGGGGAGGGGAGGGAAGGGGGCGGAGAAACTGGTTGGAGTGATGTCGCACATGCACGGATTTCTACATTTGCCGCTGTCGATCTTCTCAATCTACGGAACTATCTTCCCCGAATACAAGCGTTAAAGCTGTATTTTAGGCAACTTCCAGTCTAGATACAGCGGAAAAGACCGTGTAAGCGTTAAAGCTGTAGAGTGGTGTGGACACTGTGGGGTACTGAGTTACGGAGGGGAAAAAAAAAACATAGCTGCAGAGAGCGAAAACAGAGTGTGAGCTTGTTTCTTGCCTTGTGGTGCTACGGTGAGTCCCACTTACAGAAGCAAACTTAGGTGATACACACGTATTCAAACCACCAGTACCTCTGATGAATCAATTTTCTCTGGGGCTGCAAACAAACGCCCTGCACCCCCCCAAAAAACGAACAAGTGCAGGCCTCATTTTGGCTGGCTGGCTGGCCAGCCAGCCATTTACTGTGGGAAGGCCTCGGCCGAGCCCCGAAAGTTGCAGCAGCTGCATGCAAGCCGCATATTTTTATTCTTTGGCTGGGAATGCACACTGGTGGTTTGAAAAAAAAAAACGAACAGGTGCAGGCCTCCTTTTGGCTGGCTGGCCAGTCATTGTGCTGTGGGAAGGCCGAGCCCCGAAAGTTGCAGCTGCATGCATGCAGTTGCAGCTGCATGCAAGCCGCATATTTTATTCTTTGGCTGGGAATGCACTACTACTTCGGTTTGAACCGAAGTCACTGTAGTGCTTGTACCGGGGATATATGTGCCTGGCCACTTTGAAAAGGGGTCCTCGCAGGCTCGCAGGCCACGTTGAAAAGCTTAGGGGCAGTTGCAGGCTCGCGAGCCTGGGAAGGTAGCGTCTTTTATCAACGTAGAGTCGTAGACCTGCGGCAATTGGTGGGTTACCCCACCGGTACCTTTCCCATGTATAGGGGGCGTGAAAAACTAGAGTGAAAAGTTTTGGACTTGGCTGAATTTGGGTGCTCCGGTAGGCGGCCCCCCCCCCCTTCAATCCTCCGAAAGTCGCGGCCGCATGTGGGAGCGACTCTCGGAGGTTACTGGTGGTTTAAACCACACCAGTAGTACTTCCTAAATTCGTGCCCGCTAACAAGCCACGATTTCAGAAAACGTACCGGCCACTACAGGAGTGCCCAAATTCATCCGACTAGAAACGTTTCTACTCTATTTCTTCTCGGCGGCCAATAGGTGGGCCAAGTACTGGTGGTTTAAACTTTCAACTGGGATTCCTGCTCTGGTGCAAAACTCCTTGCCCCCCCCCCCCTCCTCCCCCAGTCGAGAGTTTTGTCTTCACCCATTCCAGACCAGTATATATATATATATGGAATTTGGGTGTCTGCATGCACTTCAGAGTCTTCAGACATGTCAAGCTAACACATGTTTACTATGGCAAGTTACTCTCAGTGTGGTTCATTCAATGACATGCTGTGCACATCTTTTGGAGTTTGACAATGTGAGACATACAGCTTCTGTGTGAGAGAAATCTCTCATATTATGTGCTGTGCGCTGTGATAGCATCTTTCGGTTATGTGAAGACAAAACTCTCCACTAAAGAAGCGATGTCAGCGCAGAAGTCTGACCAAACGCAAAAACACATAACCGTTTGGTCAGACTCTGCGTTTGACCAAACGGTTGTGTTTTTGCATTCGGTCAAATGCAAAAACACAACAGTTTTGTCAGAATCTTCGTTTGACCAAACGGTTATGTGTTTTTGCATTTGGTCAAACGCAAAAAAACAAATAACCGTTTGGTCAGACTCTGCGTTTGACCAAATGTGATAGCCCCGGTATATCAAATGATCTCAAATGTTCTCAAATGATCTCTATAATTCGATATGGGACGCTGGGCGCGGTTCCCAGCACGTGCTGCTCCCCACGAATAGATTGGAGCACTTGTTTAAAAAAAACAGCAAAAAAAAACACGGTTATGTGACGACAAAACTCACTAGTAGTCACTACAGCTTCTGTTTGGTCAACGCAGAGTCTGACCAAACGCAAAAACACATAACCGTTTGGTCAGACTCTGCGATGTAGAGAGGTTTGTCTTCACATAACTGTTCGGAGTTTGACAATGTGAGATTTCTCCTTACGTTGGGTCGGACTCTGCAGGGACACCGCTTCTTTCACAGACACAAGCTATAGCATGACTGGTGGGTGCATTAACCTTTTTCTGTTTGTTTTGTTTTTGTTGTTTTGGTTTTTTGTTGGGCATTAAAGCACCAGTACACGGCTACTGCAGTCTTCCCCCGAATACAACGCACGGTCATTATAGCTGAATTTGGTGTATCTTTCAGTCTAAATTTATAATGACCGTACGTTGTATTCGGGGGAAGACTGTAGTACCTGGGCCGCGGGCCTGCCACCTTGAATTCCGGAGGCGTGAAACGAAAAAAACGACCGCCGATCCAATATATCAACGGCAGGCCCAGCGTTTGACGCTTCGGCCATGTTTTTTTCTTGTGGCGACAAGTTTTGGACTGCAAGAGGCTGGGGCCGTGTACTACCGTCTTCACCCGAATACAACGTACCGTCATTATAGCTGTATTTGGGGCAACTTTGAGTCTAGATACAGTGATAATGACCGTACGTCGTATTCGGGTGAAGAAGGTAGCCGTTTAACATTACTGGGCGGCACGGCAAAGTTTGTGAGCTTTGTTGCGGGACTTCTCATACACACATGAAGAGTAATCTGACTTTTAGTTAAATTTGAAATTTGAAATATTTTTGTTCGCGTGACGAAATTGAGCTTGGCAGGGTGTTTGTGATTTTTTTTCACCTGAATGAAATAGGGACTTGGGATCGATCGCGCCACGTTCGATCGGTGTTTCATTTCGCGAATTTAAAGTGAAAATTGCACCCGCCAATTTGAAAAATCTGTACTGCCAATTTCGGAAATCCAATTTTTGTGCTCGAGCACAGATGAGCGGTATGAGAAAGTGGCAGCACAGCGCGATCCTGGTACAATGCATTTTTTTTGTGAACCGGGTTTTCGGTCAACTTTAGTCAACTTTAGTCAACCTTAGTCAACTTTAGTCAACTTTAGTCAACCTTAGTCAACCTTAGTCAACTTTAGTCAACTTTAGACTAAGTCAACTTAACTCAACTTTAGTCAACTTTAGACTAAGTCAACTTAACTCAACTTTAGTCAACTTTAGTCAACTTAACTCAACTTTAGACTAAGTCAACTTAACTCAACTTTAGTCAACTTTAGTCAACTTAACTCAACTTAAGTCAACTTTTCACCGAGTTGCGAGCTCGCTGCAGCGAGTGGGTCAAAGGAGTATTATAAGGGATAATAGGTACAACAGGCGCACCCGAAAACCTATTGGGCTGTCTGTTCACACCCAAAGCTTTTGTGTTGGGTACTAGAGGCCCAAACGTTCCTTCTGGGTACCAGGGAAAGAAGGCATCTTTGAGGAGTGGCCGATGGGCCTACCGGATAAAGAATCTGGCACAAAAACAGTGCCAGGTTCATAGGCCGGCAGAAAGATGCCCAGGGAGGTGCAGTAGTAGTGATCCAGTAGAATGTTAGAAAGAGGCTTAGGAAGGTAGAGTGAAAATAGTGGGCCTGCTGGAACATGAATCTGGCACATAAACAGCTCCAGATTCATAATCCGGTAGAAAGGGCCCTGCGACGTGTACCCCTAGGGGGTTAACATCCCCCTATAGGTTTTTCGGCATGGCCATGCTCTGCCTGTTATACCACCGGTACATGGCCCCAGCCAAGCTGAGAATCGCGATTGAGCCTCTCCGGAAAACTTGGAGGCTCAGGGCAACAGGACCAGCGCCATTCCTGATTGTTCTTTTGAGTTCTACTTCTCTTTTTTTTTTTCTTTTTTTTTTTAAATTCTACTTCTCACTAGTGAGTAAAGTCAGGAGATAGTGCTGCTAGTATTAATAGAAGTATCTGGTGGCCTAAGTTTTGGCTGAAGAGGAAGATCTCACTCTCTGGCTACTTATTCAAAGTAATGTACCACATTTATATGTATTAAGGGACGCTGGACCCGGTTTCCAGCAGGTGCAGCTCCCCGCCAATAGAATGGAGCCAGTAGCTGGGCTGCTAGTGGTGGATGCTCTCATCACCACCGCTAGAAGGACCAGCGCCAGCCAAAAGTAAAACAAAAAAAAACACGCTGCGCTGGCATGTCTGCGAAGCTTGGTGACACAGTGGGAATCCGCCTCACTTGTCCTTTTTCCGGCATGCTCTTGTCCTAGGCCTTTGGATTCACAGTTACAAAAAAAAAACGTCAGATGTACTGGTGTTTTATCCCGGGCACCCCGGAGCATCCTGTCCGCCCAATGCCCCAGCATGCATGGCGCATTTCTGCACAGTGGCAGGGAAATATATACTGGTGGTTTAGAGCGACCGTAGAGCATGGGATGGTAGCAGCGTGACAGTAGTGCACACCTCACCCCCCTAGATCTAAAAGGACCCTACCTGCAGTAGGGGCCTCTCAAATCTAGGGCCCTACTTTGCCAACTGACCCATTTGCACAGGCCCAACCTCATGGGAGTGCCCCAAGACTCATTGGATTATGAGCAGCACTACCCCCCTAAAGTTTCAAGAAAAAGACTTTCACTGACAGTGTAAAATTTCTGCAAATTGAGCAATTGATCTATCTAAATTTGGATTAAAAAACAACCTTAAATAAGGAAGTAATTGATAACGTATTCGGCTACGATAAATCCTTATATTTAAGTTAGTAGAACCCAAGTATAATGGAAAAGGACCTTACCTGCGGTTGGGACCCCTGAAATCCAGGCAGGGCCCTACTCTGCCAGCCATTCACACAGGCCCTACCCCATGGGACTATGGGACAGCTGATTGGATTATGACCAGGACTAGCCCCCCTAGATCTAAAAGGACCCTACCTGCAGTAAGGGCCTCTGAAATCTAGGGCCCATCTCCGAGTGTGCCAACTGACCCATTCGCACAGGCCCTACTAACCCATGAGATTACTCCACGACTGATTGAATTATCAGCAGGTCTGGAGGAGGACCTAGAGACAGGACTGGAAAAGCATCTTACATGGTCTAGACTCTATAGATCTACAAAAGCGGGTTTCTCTCTTCCTTAGCAACATAACCCATTTAAATTGGAACAATACAGAGACGCTTGATTAGAATGGCCCATGCGCAAGGATGACACACGTAGATCGAGAAACGGTCCCCAAAGAAAAGAAAAGAAGAAAGAGAAACATCATCCCAGCCTGAGGTAGGCAGGATTGCAGTCCCATGGGGATCGTGGAGAGGGAGATGCTCCCATGCGCCGGAAAATCTGGATGAGGAGGGGAGTTGGCTCACTACACATCAAACCCACCAAAGCAATAAACAACACACAATTAAGCCACCACTACCTTTCACAGGCAAAGTCTATCGCCCACCTACAGGTCGGGAGCAGCCCCCGCATGTTATCTCATGAACACGGTTCTGGCTGCTACGGGGTTCCCCGTATGGCTACAAGTAGGAGTAGTGGTAGGTAAGTAGTGTGAGGTGAAATTGAGAGAAGAATATAGTTAAAAAAGTACTGAATATAACCTAAGTCTAAGTACTGAATATAACCTATACCACATTCTTCAGAGGCTAGGCGCCATCTGACAGGAGCATTCAGTTTGTACAACTACATGGGTTTGAGAGGGGTCAATCTGCCCCCTCATTTACTATTTAAGACCTTGTCATCCTTTCCCGGAATTTAAGACCTATAATTCACCTTTTTTCCGTCTTCTTTTTTTTGTATGCTATGGAGTCTGGACTTTTTGGGAGGGGGAGGGGGGGGGGATTTTTTGTTTTTTTTGGGGACTTTTAAAAAAAAATAAGTTGTGGACTTTTTAATGGATCAGGATTTGCAAAACCTGGAAGAGAAAGTGGAGGAGAGCATCAAGCAGGCACAGGAGACCTGTGAGAGCGGCACAGACGGTGAATGCAAGGCGGCTTGGGATGAGGTAGAGGAGCTGTCCGCGGAACTGTCACACAAGACGATCCGAGTGAAGCAGGCCAAGGGAGATCCTCTTGAGGCCTATTGTGTAGATAACCCTGAGGTCGACGAGTGCAAAGTCTACGACGATTAAAAAGTGAATCTGCTCCCAACTACGTAGTACCAAGTTTGTACCTTTACGAAAAATTCGCGTCAACGCCGCACTCTAGGCCTTTGATCAGCGGTTGAGAATGGATATGAATCACATCTGCGAGCGGAAGGTCTTTGAACAAGTTGAACTGTTGAGTTTAACTGTTAGTACTCTCTTGCACACAAAGACCAGTTTAGATGATGGTAATTGCATCCTCTTACCCTCCCCTACTTACCAACAATGTGGAATGATACGTACGCATCTGTCCTAAACTTCTTATACAAAGCATCTGGCTCGAAACTCGTTTTGATGTGTGTGTGTGTGTGTGTGTGTGTGTGTGTGTGTGTGTGTGTGTGTGTGTGTGTGTGTGTGTGTATTTATGAGAGAGAGAGAGAGAGAGAGAGAGAGAGAGAGAGAGAGAGAGAGAGAGAGAGAGAGACGAGGAAGCCGTTGCTGTGTTCATCATGTAACATTAGGTCACATGTTGCTCGCTCTCCGAAGAAACATTTTTGTGGGGACACCTTTGGAAGTTTTTTTTTAACTTTTTCCTCTTTGGATATGGCTTTTTCGGCAAAAGCCGAATGTGAAACGTGCCCCCCCCCCCACTCCTCCTCCTCCTCCTTCTTTTGAATGAAATCGCCATTTCTTTGGCCAGGGATTCTCCCTAGGAAATACTTCCCTGTGGATTTGTCATGTGATCTGCTGCTTTTCTGTGTTGCATTTTCACTTGATTATATTTCACTTTCTTTCGGAGCCCTTGTTATCTCTTCTCTCTCCCAATGAATCCACACCCCTTTCCCCCCTCATCCTTCTCTCTCTCTCTCTCTCTCTCTCTCTCTCTCTCTCTCTCTCTCTCTCTCTCTCTCTCTCTCTCTCTCTCTCTC